CTGCTATCAATATAGTGAGGGTTTTGTGCAAACATAAGTTTTTAACTCCTTTGCGTTAAATACCAAGGAGTGCCTTTGCTGGATTGTATGGTAGGAGTATGTTTAGTTTTGTAAGAAACTGCCAAACTGTTTTCCTAAGTGGTTCTACCATTTTGCATTCCAACCAGCAATGAATGAGACTTAATGTTGCCTTACCAGCATTAGGTGTTGCTAGTGTTTTGGATTTTAGCCATTTTGATACATGAGTAGTGTTATTTCATTGTTTTAATTTTCAATTCCCTGATGACATAGATGTTGAGCATTTTTTTTATATGCTTGCCACTTATGTATCTTCTTTGGGGAGGTTAAGGTCATCTGCCCATTAAAAAAGATTTTTTTTTATATTTACTTATTTATTTTTGAGAGAGAGAGAGCATGAGCTGGGGAGAGGCAGAGAGAAAGGGAGAGAGAGAATCCCAAGCAGGCTCCACACTGCCAGCACAGAGCCAGACACAGGCTGTCTCTGTCTCACTAACTGTGAGATCATGACTTGCGCTGAAATCAAGAGTTGGACACTTAGTTGACTGAGCCACCCTGCACCCTGGTCTTTTGCCCATTTAAAAAAATCAGGTTGTTTGTTTTATTATTGACTTTTAAGAGTTCTTTGTATATCTTGGATAACAGCACTTTACTAGATGTGTGTTTTGCAAATCTTTTCTCCTAGTTTGTGGCTTGTCTTCTCATTCTCTCAACAGTGTGTGCCAAAGAGCAGAAGCTTCAAATTTTAATGAAGTCTACAGTTTATGAATTACTTTTTTTCATGGATTATGTCTATATTTTGTACGTCAAACATATTACATACTGTATTCTTACAATAAAGTAAGCTAGAGGGGCGCCTGAGTGGCTTAGCCAGTTAAAGGTATGTCTCTTGATTTTGGCTCAGGTAATGATCTCACAGTTTGTGAGTTTGAGCCCCACATAGTAATTCTCTCTCTCTCCCTCTCCCATGTTTTTTTTTCTCTCTCTCAAAATAAGTAAAATAAACTTAAAACAAACAAACAAACGAACAAAAAAGGGTTGTGTGCTCCCAACTGAGCCAGCCTGGCACTCCTGAAGAACTTTTTAACTTTCCTCACAAGGCAGCTCTACTGACAACAAATTTCTTCGACTTTTGTTTGACTTGAGAAAAGCTTTCACTTTTCTCTTTCACTTTTGAAGGATAATTTTACAGAGTACAGAATTCTAGGTTGATGGGGTTTTTTCCCTTCAAATATTTAATATTCCACTCCATTTTCTTCTGCATGGTTTCTGAGGAAAAGTTGCATGTCATTCTTATCTTTGCCCCCCCTAAAGGAAACGTGATGTTTTTTTTTTTCTTTTTGCTTCTTTTGAGAACTTTTTCTTCTTTGAATATGATATCTCTAGGTGTAGTATATTGGGCATATATCCTACTCAGAAAGCTTTTCTGAGACCTGGATCTGTGGTCTGACATTAATCTGGGGGAAACTCTCAGTTACTATTTCTTTAAATATTGTTTCTTTCCCTTTTTTCTTTCCGTTCTGGTATTCCTGTCATGAATTTGTTACCTCTTCCATAATTGTCCCACAGGTTTTGGAAATCCTAGTTTGTTTTGTTTCTGTGTGTGTTTCCAGTTTTCCTCTTTTTTGCTTTTCAGTTCTGGAAGTTTCTATTATTATACCCTCAAGCTCAGAGACTCTGCTCAGCTGTGTCTAGTCTATTAAGGATCTCATTAAAGGCAGTCTGCCTGTTACAGTGCTTTTAATCCCTAGCAAAGCTTTTTTATTCTTCCATAGATCTTCCATCTCTTCACTTACATTATCCATCTGTTCTTACATGCCATCTACTTTTTCCATTAAACCACTTAGCATGTTTGTCATAATTTTTTAAAATTCCTGACCTGATAATCTCAATATATCTACTGTATCTGATGCTGGTTCTGATGGTTGGTCAGCCACTCCAAACTGTGCTTGTCATATTTTAGTTTGCCTCGTAAATTATCGTTGAAAAGTAGGCAGGGTGTCCTGGGTAAAAGGAACTGTGGTGAATAGCCCTTTAGTAATGTGATGGGAAGGGGTGGGGGAGGGGAAGCATTCTGATTGACTAGGGCTCAGTCTTTCAGTAAGCCTGCACCCCTGGGCTGTGAGCTTCAACAATCCTTTTCAGTGTCTCTCCACCTATGTAAGAGAGAGAATGGCTAGAGGAGTTGGGGATTTCCCTTCCTCCAGGTGGGTTAGACTCTGATAAGATTTCAGCAGGTTAGGCTCTGGTAAAATCATTTCTCCTGAGAGCAGATCTCATTAAGAATGGAATGCTCTGGCATACTTCAAAAATGGTTTCTGTTCTCTCTCTGCTAGAGGAAGCACCAGGGGTTTTTCTTTCATACTCACTGTGACGACTAGGTGGAGTTCCTGGAGGTAAGTCACAAAGCTGTGGAGCACCCCATCTTCTACCCCCCATTACTTGTCCCCCCTGAAATATTTCACTCTCAGACTTGTCCTCACTGAGCCTCTGGCAATTTGTCCCTACATGTTAGGTGTTCCTACCCTGGCACTGCCATGGAGTTTTTAGCTTGTGGGTTTCTGCTCTGGTATGTTCTATATCTGTATGTCTATGTTTCCAAATCGAGGGGCAGTGGTTTGGTCTGTGACCTTGCTTCTCTGACTGATTTGTTGATTTTTCAGTTTGTTCAGCTTTTTACTTGTTAGGACAGAGCGACAACTTCTAAATTCCTTGCATGCTGGGCCAGAAACCACCTCTAAGGAAACCAAGGCGCAAAGCTATTTATTAATTTGATCAAGGCCCCCAGGTGGTAGGTGGAAGAGCCAGGATTTGAATCTAGGTGCTCAAGCTCAAGAGTCTGTGCTCTTAGGGGGCGCCTGGGGGCTCAGTCGGTTAAGTGTCTGACTTTGACTCAGGGCATGATCTCATAGTTCATGGGTTCGAGCCCCACGTCGGGCTCTGTGCTGACAGCTAGCTCAGAGCCTGGAGCCTGCTTCAGAGTCTGTGTCTCCCTCTCTCTCTGACCAGCCCCTGCTCACTCTGTCTCTTTCTCTCTCTCTCAGAAATAAATAAGACATTAAAAAAATTAAAGAGTCTGTGCTCTTTTTTTTTTTTTAAATATTTTTATTTATTTCTAGGAGAGAGGGAGACAGCGTGAACAGGGGAGGGTCAGAGAGAGAGGGAGTCACAGACTGAAACAGGCTCCAGGCTCTGAGCTAGCTGTCAGCACAGAGCCCGACGCGGGGCCCGAACCCACGAACCGCGAGATCATGACCTAAGTGAAAGTCGGCCGCTCAACCGACTAAGCCATCCAGGCGCCCCAAAGAGTCTGTGCTCTTAATGACCACACCATTGAGGAAAACAAGCAAGTTGGGCAAGTGGGGAAAGGGTGAATATGTTTTCTTACCATGAAATTGATTGTTCATGTCTCCTAAGCTACATTTTCAAAAAATTTTCCAAAACACTTAAAGGAACAAGTGTCAGAGGGTTGACTTGAAGTAGATACAATCAGTGAATATTTAGAGTAGAAACAAACAAAAATCACTGCTAAATCTACCACCTTTCAGATTACATTTCAGTCTGCGTCCACCTTCATGGACATTACATGGATATTACGCATTCAACTTTTTCACTTAGTATTGTATCATGGGGATTTCCCCATGTTTTGGTATCTTTTTTACAAGGTACATTTAATAGCTGTATATTCTACCTTGGTGATGTACTAAAATTTACAAAAACATTCTCTTATTGTTTGACATTTGATGATTATGATTTTTCTTTTACAATGATAGATAATGTTCAGCAATTGTTTCCCTTCCTTTGAGTAATTTCATTCAAGATAGCTTCATGAATGTGTTTGTTCGGTCAACAGGTAGGAATATGTGTATAACTACTGCTGATTTTTGTTGTTACTGGTTTCCAGAATAGTTGTACCAACTTTCTGGGTGTCCAAAATGGTATAATTATATAAAATATATACATATATTGAAAACCTCATACATGCAAGTGCAGTATCAATACAGGAAGGCTCTAAAATTGCACCCCTCCCATAAACTGATGCACAACCTTTTTCCAGATACTCAGTTTATATTGCATGTAGCCTTGTGTGTAGGAGGCATTCCATAGATATTTATTGGATGGATAGATGGATAGGTGGATGGATGGAGGATATCCAACTGATTCCTTTTAATCAACACACAGAAAGTTAGTGGCAAAATTGAGATGATACTCTGATTTATAAAATACATCTCTTTCTCCTGCTATACCTGCAGTTTACTGCATTCACCAATATATTTTATATATTCACCAATATATTATATATGCAAAATGCCGTTCTAGAAGCTGGGGACCTACTATCAATAAAACATAGTTTCACCCACCGTGTACCTCACAGTTTGAGAAACTTACATACCTCTCTGGATCAAATTCTCATTCATAAAATGAATGTAGTGACCTCAGAAGTCCCTTCTAGTTTCTGAGACTCTAAATTTCCCAATTCTAGATATTAAGACTCTAGAGTAAGATTATTTCAAAGATCAATCTAAAGGAACTGATGATTCAAGATAATGAAGTCTTCTCTAAATAGGATGTCTTCTCTATTTTCTCTTTCCTTCCTTCCTTTCCTCCTTCCTTCCTTCATCATGGATTGCATACTAAAAAGCAGATACGATTAAAAGCTAGGAATAAAAATAGGAATAAGAGAAATCCTCTTCTCTTAAAAAGTCCACAGTGTAAAATGGGAAGGTTTTTTGAAGAATAGTTTGGCAACACAACACTACTACACGCAGTGTTCATGTGTATATGAATGTGATGTGCTTACTCTAATATTATAGCTAAAACTTATTGAATGGTCTCCAGCATTAAAGCATAGGAGGGAATCGGCTAAATGCTTCCAACAGTTAATGGAAAATAATCTTGGAGGTTTATCTTGTGGGGGGGGGGATACTCGTACCGTACTTGCCAATATCAAGACGAAAGAGGACAATTACAAATGGACTCACCACTTCTCTTCTTCTACTTGCACTCCTACGGACTGGAACTTACTGGGTGCTTTATTTTCCCCTGTTTTGTCAGGCTCTTCAGCATCATCCACCTGAAGAAATAATCAAATAAGTAGAGGTGCCCATTTTAGTCATCTTGCTTGAAAATCAAATGTCACATATTGTCAAACATCTGCAGTAATGCTGGAATGTTTTGTGATTTGTAGCCTTTTTATTCAACATTTGTGTGTTTGGTGAGGGCCATCATTATGCTGTTACCACGTGCTTTGGCTCTGCTGATCTTAGTAAAACGAAATTTTGTGTACTTCCAAGATAAATGTCTATGATGGCTCCTAAGATTTGTGAATAGTGCTTACCCATGAAAACTACACTAGAAAGGAGCACTGCCTGGAAACATGTTCTTGGAAGTTTTGAATTCACAGACAACAAAATACAAAAGAAGGAAGAAATTTCATTTATTTTAGTTAGAACTGTTGATATTGAGAGATTTAGGTACCAACATTTTAAGATAAACCCTATAGTATCTTCATTGTTTCCCTCTTAAACTAAGAAATTGGCTTTGAATATCAAGCCATGATTCCTAAATAGCTATGTATAGACTACAGCTCACATAGAAAATGTGCCTTTATTTACTTATTTTAAATGTTTATTTATATTGAGAGGGAGAGAGAGCATGCTCAAGTAAGGGAGGGGAAGAGAAAGAGAGAGAGAGAGAATCCCAAGCAGGATCCGCTCTGTTAGCACAGAGCTAGATGCAGGGCTGTATCTCATGAACCCTGAGACCATTACCTTAGCTGAAATCAGGAGTTGGACACTTAACAAACTGAGCCACCCAGATGCCTTGAAAACATGTCTGTATTTAAATGAGAGGCTACGTGACAAACCTAAATTTGATATAAATTTTACGACTATTCAGAGCAATTAGGTTTTCTCCTATATATTTAATAGATTATTTTTTCTAAATATAAAAGTAATAATGTAAGTTATATGAAATTAAAATATATAAATACATAATGTAGAAAGGTAAAGACCCCCAAGAAGCACTTTCAAGCCTCTGAAGCACATTTGTTCATCTATTAATATGTGTAATATATATGTAAATGATTATTAATACTAAATGTATTCAGATGAAGCTACACTATATATGTTTTTTTCTGCAATTTGCTTTATTCATTAATACTGCTTTCTTTTGGATATTATATCATGTCAGTAGATATAGCTCTATCTTAAGTCTTTTGTTTGCTACATAAATATTCCCTTTAATGACTACCTAAGCAACATGGGCAACATGGGTAATTTCTCTTTGTTGCTATTATCTAGTATTGCAATTAATATTGTGCATGTATCAGAACAATTAGAACAATTGTGCAAATGTTATTTGGGAAAAATCCTTAGAAATTGAAATGTTAAAAGGAAAGAGTGAGCATATGTTCAACAGTAAAAGCTATTGCCAAATTGCTTTTCAAAGCATTTATCTTCTTGCCATAATTGGTGTATGGGAATATCCATTTTTCTATACATTCTATACAATACTAAATAAGGCAAACTTTAAAATTTTTGCTAATATCACAGGTAAAAATATTTGTTGGCCTCTTGTACTTCTATCAGTAAATTGCTTATTTATATTTTTTCTAGTTTTTGTGTCATTATCCTGTTGAGTTATTATTTATTTTCCTTAAATAATTCTTTTTAATATTTATTTATTTTTGAAAAAGAGACATACAGAGTATGAGCAGAAGGTTAGAGAGAGAGGGAGACAGAATCTGAAGTGGGCTCCAGACTCTGAACCGTCAGCACAGAGAGCACAGAGCCCGACACAGGGCTTGAACTCACCAACGTGAGATCATGATCTGAGCCAAAGTCCAATGCTTAATTGACTGAGCCACCCAGGTGCCCTATTATTTTTTATTTTCTTATTTGTAGAGTCTATATCTTATGACTCTTCATCACTCTTTCTTGCTTATATATACTTTAAATATTTTCTCCTAGTTTATCATTTGTCTTTTATTTGTTTTTAATATTTTATTTTTAGGTAATGTCTGTATTCAATATGAACTTGAACTCACAACCCTGAGATCAAGAGTCCCATGCTTTACTCCTTGAGCCAGCTAGGTACCCCTATTATTTGTCTTTTAAACTTTGCCCTTCATTGTACAGAATCTTAAAATTACTATGTAATGAGAGGTGACTGGGTGGCTTAGTTGGTTATGCGTCCGACTTTGGTTCAAGTCATAATCTCATGGTTTGTGGGTTCACTACTGGGTAGTGAAATCTTTTATGGCTTGGAAAGCCCTTCTTTACCCTTGAGCATATTTTTTTATTTTTTAAATTTTTTAAAAATTTATTTATTTTTCAGAGAGGGAGAGAAGAGTGGGGCTGAGGGGCAGAGAGAGAAGGAGAGAGAATCCCAAGTACAATGCTGAGCCCAAATGCGGAGCTGAATTCATGAACTGTGAGATCATGACTTGAGCCAAAATCAAAAGTTGGATATTTAACTAACTGAGCCACCCAGTTTCCCCAGAGAGCACCCCCTTTTAGAGTTTATTTATTTATTTTGAGAGAGAGAAAGAGAGAGAATGTGCACATGCACTCCCATGTGGGAGGAGCAGAGAGGGTACCCTGAGCAGATTTTTTAAAGTTCTTTTGTATTTACTTTTATGCTTTCATTTTTCTTTTTCATATTTAATTCTTAAATCCAATTTTCTTGAAATGTCTGTGTGTAATAAACAAAGTAGAAATGAAACATTTCCCCTCTATATGGATCATCAATTGATCTGGCTCTTTTTAGTTACTAATTCATTTCTGATTTAGATGCCAACTTTATTTTCTACCAAACTTCACCCAAACATTTCCATGTATATAGAAATGTTTTGGGTCAATTTTGTAAAAATCTTGATATTTTCTATGGCTTAACTCTTCCTGTAATTCTTTTTTTAATGTAGTTCTTTAAATTTCTAGGTTATTTTGGGGTATTAATTTCTAAATAAATTTAACATTAAATTGTCAAATCCCTTCTCTGAGCTTCTACCCAGTGATAAAAATCACATTGGAGTTTCTTTAAATTTTTGTATAACCATTATTGTTTGTTTCTTGGTAGGCTTCCCACCTGGCACAGAGCCCAACACAAGGCTTGAACTCATGACCTGAGATCAAGAGTTGGACACTTAACCAACTGAGACACGAGGTGCCCTCTTTTTGTATAACTTTTGAGAGAATTGCTGTCTTTACATTATGAGGTATTCCCATGTAGGAATATTGCATAGTTTTCCAATTATTAGATCTCTTATATATTGTATAAGGGAAGTTTTTAGATTGTTTTCAGATAAGTGTTATATATTCTTTGTGAAGCTCAATCCTGTTACAGTTTTTGGTACTAATGTGAGTAGGCTCATTTTGCTCCATTACATTTTCTGTTTATTAGTAATATATAGAAAATTACTGATTTGTCAGTATTTATATTGTATTCTTTTACTCTACTGAGTTCTACTGATTTTTCCAGTGATTTCCATTAGATTTTCTAAGGGGACATGAGTATTATCTGCAAATAGAAGAATTTTACTCTTTCTTTGGAATGTTTTCACCTCATTTCACATTCTTGCTTTGTGTATTGGCTAATAAGGGCAAATAGTGCTGAATAAATATGTGAAAACAGGAATCTATATCTAGTTTCTGAATCTAATTGGAATGTCTCTACCATTTCACCTTTATTTTAGTTTTTTAATGTTTTTACAATTTTTTTGTAATGTTTATTTTTGAGAGGGAGAGTGACAGAGCTTGAGCAAGGGAGTGGCAGAGAGAGAGGGAGACAGAATCTGAAGCAGGCTCCAGGCTCCATGCTGACAGCACAGAGCCCGATGGTGGGGCCTGAACCCATGAACCATGAGATCATGACCTGAGCTGAAGTTGGACGCTTAACCGACTGAGCCACCCAGGCACCCCTATTTTTTTAATTTTTCAAGTTTATTTATTTATTTTAAGAGATAGGGAGAGAGCAAGCGGGAGCGGGGTGCAGAGAGAGAGAGAATCCCACAACTCACAAAATCATGAGATCATGACCTGAGCTCAAATCAAGAGCCAGACTCAACTGACTGAGCGAGCCACCCAGACACCCCCAGAGTTATGTTTATTTGATAAAATATATTGAGAATATTGATTTTTTCTTATATTTTTAAATGATTTATTTTTTAAAAAATGTTTGTTTATTTTGAAGTAAGAGAGAGAAAGCATGGGGGAGGGGCAGAGAGAAAGGGAGAGAGACTAGGAATCCTAAGCAGGATCTGTGCTGACAGCACAACTGGGGCTCAAAATCACAAACCGTGAAATCATGACCTGAGCTGAAATCAAGAGTCAGACACTTAACTTACTGAGACATCCAGGTGCCACTATTATTAAATACTTTATTTATTAAAAAAATTTTTTTAATGTTTTATTTCTGAGAGAGAGACAGCATAAGCAGGGGCTGGTCAGAGAGAAAGGGAGACACAGAATCTGAAACAGGCTCCAGGCTCTGAGCTAGCTGTCAGCACAGAGCCCGACACGGGGCTCGAACCCACAAACCATGAGATCATGACCTGAGCCGAAGTCGGATGCTTAACCGAATGAGCCACCCAGGCACCCCTTAAATACTTTAAATAAAACAAGAATTACTTGCTTCTTGAATGTTGGGAATTTTCTGTGAATTTACTCTATTGTGTACCATTTCAGGGAAGTATATTTTTTACTTTACTTGACAATATATTCTATGGTTATTAGATTTCTTTTCCCAGGTTTTATTCTTCCTCTTACATTAGTATTACTAATTTACATGTATGTCTATTTTATTTTGACCTTAAAATTTACCACCCTAAAATGGACAGAAGAATTTTTTTATGGTTTTTTAAAACGGTTTCTTTTCTTTAAAAAATTTTTTTAATGTTTAATTTTGAAAGAGAGAGATAGAGTGCCAATAGGGGAGGGGCAGAAAGAGAGGGAGACACAGAATCCGAAGCAGGCTCAAGGCTCCGAGCTGTCAGCACAGAGTCCTACACAGGGCTTGAACCCATAAACCTTGAGATCATGACCTAAGCTGAAGTTGGACACGTAACCAACTGAA